GCCGTTTCGGGTACCGGTTCGGGTCCTGGGACACTCTAGACGAGACCCGAACCAACCCGTGGGCCAAATCGTATCTTTTCAACAAAAAGGATCCGCCCCGGGATCACGTGTGCAGACCCGTTATCATCAGACCCGACGGAGGAACCATACCCGGAGTCGTGGACTACTGCCCTCCGAAGCTGAATAAAAAAGGGGCTATGACTTCCGTCGATGAGAGCGCTTGTCGGGCTCAGCCCATTAAACCATATGCGAAGGATCATGTGCCCGGTAACCGTAAAATGGGCTTTCCTAGTGGCATGTTTCAGAGGCTAAAGTCCGAACCCGCTTTGATATCGGATGATGGGTGGACCCGGCCCAGCCTAAAAGGGTGGACGCTGTCACCGGAGGACGCACTACAAAAAGGGCCCAATAATAGGGACTCAGATTATATCGGGGGTTCGGCCCAGCCCAATTTAGGTTCCGAGTGGGCTGGTTTGGGCCCAAAAGGTCGATTAGAGAAAGCGACCAATGAAATTAACAGGTCCGCTGAGTATGTTAAGGGACAAGCGGGGCCCACTTTGTCAGCTGGTGGTCGGCGGTGGGGCCCAACGGGGATTGCAACTATTGATAGTAGAGAGGCCGTGAAGAAATACGGTGGGCGGTATAATATGTGAAAGTGTAATCAGTGTTATTTCGCTGGAAAATAGATGTATTTTTATATCCAAAAGTTAGTTATCAATAAAACAAGTACAAATATAAATATACAATTTATTAGCTTTTGAGAATTTAAGATCTTTTCTTAAAGTGTGAAATAAATGTGATTTGGTCTTCTTCTTTAAGCCCAAGAGGCAAGAGCCCTCTCTCAAATGAAAAAAAAAACCAAAGATTATGTTGTATACTCTTGTCTCATTTATTTTCTTCAAAACAGAAAAAGTTAAGTTTCAGAGAATCCCCTATGCTTAGAAGTTTCTTAGATTAACCTTCATTAACTTTCAAAATATCACAAAAGTTTTTTTTTTATGTTTCGGGGTTCTCAGAAAACCCCTTCAACTTTAAACATTGTTTAAAAAATCTCTCAAACTGAGTTAAACGCATTTTTCACATAGGTGAATAAGCTTATACTTAGGGATATTTTGCCAGTGAAAATAGTGGTTTTATGTTTTTAGGATTTTTTTTTAACCAATAAAGGGGATTCTCTAAGTACTCCTTGTGACATCTAGAATTCTTTATTTACAGTTTTGTCCCCGTTAGATCAAATTCTTATTCCTATTCTATGAAAAGAGTGAAACAAACACCCCTAAAGAGATCATCTAGAGAATGTCTAAACTGAAGCGTGTCTCTCTATTTTTTCCCCCCTCTTTTTTTAAAAAAAAAATTTATCCAATGACCTTCTACACGGTTAGATAATAATGCCAAACATTTGAGGATACATAACTTAATAATTTCGGAAATTTGACTTAGAACAGTCTACGACTTGACAAGAAATTGACTTTTATATTAATGAATTGACTTTCTATCCACCACTTTAATTTATTGCAGCCTTGATTTCAACCAAGACCACTATGAATGACCTCTTGTATCACACGTGCTATGAGAGGATAAGTTCGTCATTAGATTAATAATACGGACTGATACATGACATCTGAGCTTTCTGTAGAGTGCAGACTTACATTTCGAAGAAAATTGAATGTAAAAAAAAAAAGAAAAGTGAAATCCTTAGTACTTACCATGACAATAAATTCCTCTTTCTCTGATTAATTATCAATGTCTCAGATCGATAGTAATTGATGTTGCGTAGATATCATCCGTTGAATCAGTGCACAAGTCTAATCCAGCTGTTTTATATTTTCTTTTCCTCTCATTAATGATAATACTTGGGCCCGCTACTT